ATTTTCTTGGTTTTTTTTTGCATTTCGGGTATCTCTTTTTGGGTGTTTGTTCATTTTGGCAGGGATTTTCTCTCGTGTCTTGGACTTCTGATTCAGTAGATGGCGCTATTTGATCCCTGGAAATCGTTCCAGCAGGCTGTTCAGCTGTTCCTTCTTTCTTTATTTATTTCTGAGATTCCGCCTCTTTTAGCCGGGCCCCTCCCCACTCTGTGTGCTCAGGACAGGGCTGGGGCGTGTCTTCTACAAACCTTGACTTTCAGTTGAGTCATCAAAGTTGTGCCCTGCCCCCACCCTGCCCAGCAGGTGTCCTGACTCTCCGGACGGCTGCTGGGGAGTGAACTCCTCGGGGTGAGGGTCGATCAGCCCACAATTCCTTCTTGTCTTCCCTGCCCACTCGGGTCAGCTCCCCTAGAAACCCGACTGGTTCACTTCAATGTAACTCGAGGGGGACACGGGGCTCCCCTCTCCCCACCAGAAAGCAGCCAGGGGCTCTTCCAAACTGAGGTCCCCAGAGATAGTAAAGAGGAGTATCATGACCGTCTATTCTCCAGTGAATCCTCTCTGTCTCTTCAGGACTCCCGAGGCTCCCTCCGCGCAGCCCGCGGGTCCCGCCGCTCGAGATGGGTTTTTAAAAGTATCATTAGAAACACATGGATTTTTACATAGTTGATATGCTTCAATCTACTGTTGTGATTTTTTTTTATGATGATCAAAATATTCCATTTTTGACAAGAGGGAGCCTCTCCATGTTTCTCTTGTTCTATGGCTTAACTCCTGCTAGTGAGTTCTTGTTTTTGGGAGACTGCATTAGTTCTCTCCGGAATGGATTAGTTCCCACAAGAGTGGTTATTATAAAGCAAGAAGACCCCCTTCACATGTGTCTGCTTCCCCTTTGACCTTTGCCATGTTTTGATGCAGCACAAAACCCCTCACCAGAAGCCAGTGCCTTGCCCTTGAACTTCCCAGCCTCCAGAACCATGAGCTAAATAAACCTCTTTTCTTTATAAATTACCTAGTCTCCGATATTCTGTTGTAGCAACACAAAATGGACCAAGACATCCTTTTGTCATGACATGACACCAGTGGTCTTTGATAGGTTTCTTGCTTTGGGGTACGACTAATCTTCCAGCCTTATCTTGTATGTTTCCTGCACTCTGACTTGGATTCAGCCATTTCTCCAAGGAGCCTTGGTTCTTTCTAAGAAGGACTTTTTTTTTAGAGATCATGATCTGGGCTCTAAGGGTTTTCATTGCAGCCAGATTGGTCATTGTTTCAAGACCACTTTTTTCTTTTAAAGGAGAAATTATCACAAATTCATATTAATATTTTCAGCTCAAATTTATTGTTATAGGGATTTTAATTAACTGCCTTGAATTTTTATTTGCATTTTTATTTTTCTTCTGCCTACTTTTCTTCTTCATATTACATTATTATAATTTCTTACTTGCTTCAAATATATATTCTCAAAATTATAATACAGATATTATTGCTAAAAATATGATAACTGAAAACTGCTAAA